AGCTGCCAGCCTGGCCACCCAGGAGCAGGTTTGCATGAAAATCAAGGGGGTCCACTGAGACCCCCGACCCTGAGCCCTGAGCTTAGAATGGCCGTACTGGGTCAGACCAAAGGTCCATCTAGTCCAGTAGCCTGTCTGCTGACAGTGGCCAACCCTAGGGACCCTGGAGGGGATGGACCAAAGACAGTGACCAAGCCATTTGTCTCGTGCCATCCCTCTCCAGCCTTTCACAAACTTCGGGCAGGGACACCACTCCTACCCCCTGGCTAGTACCACTCCATGGACCCAACCTCCATGAATTGATCTCACTTCTCTTTAAACTCTGTTCTAGTTCTAGCCTTCACAGCCTCCTGCAGCAAGGAGTTCCACAGGTTGACTATTTGCTTTGTGAAGAAGAACTTTCTGTTATTAGTTTGAAGCCTGCTACCCATTCCTTTCCTTTGGTGTCCTCTAGTCCTTCTATTATGGGAACTACTGAAGAACTTTTCTGTATTTACCCTCTCCACCCCACTCATGCTTTTATAGAGCTCTATCATATCCCCCCTCAATCTCCTCTTTTCTAAGCTGAAAAGTCCCAGTCTCTTTAGCCTCTCTTCATATGGGACCTGTTCCAAACCCCTCATCATTGTAGTTGCCCTCCCGTCTCCAACCCTCTCTCTTCCCCTCTCTCACCTCCTTTTCCCAGTCTCCCCCAGCTTTGTTCAATAAAGACAGATTCTATTTTTGAACACAATTGTCCTTTATTTTGTACATCAGGAAGGGGGGCTAGGGAGGGGTAAGTGGAAGGAGGTTAGGGAGGAATGGGGTACGAGCCCTCGATGGGGAGGACTGGGCTGGCTCTGTAGGCTTCTGGGGGTGGAACCTCTCCCCAGATGGCAGCCTGCGGCAAGTGCAGCCGGTCTGATGGCCGAGTGTTGTGATGTGCCCAGTGTGGGTACTCCGGGCAATCCAAGCCAGGACTGCTTTGCAAGCGGGGCACCCCTGAGAACTGTCTGTCCGGGGTGGGGGTCGGGTCGCTTTAAGCACAGCCCTCGGCTAGCCTGAGACAGCAGCTCCACGCTCTAAGTCCTCATCTGATGCCCTGCGGCACTGCTTCCGGCCATCCTTAACCCCGGTTCAGGGTCCACTCTGTGGACATGCTAGTTCGAATTAGCAAAACGCTAATTCGAACTAGTTTTTTAGTCTGGATGTGTTAGTTCGAATTAGCGTTGTAGTGTAGACATACCCTAAGAGAGCACTATGACTACTCAGAGCTCCAGTACTTAGAGTGAGAAAAGACTGTTGAGAGTTTATGGGTTAAATTAAGAGGTGGAAACAATAGGGGTAATGTTGTGGTTGGTGTCTGGTATAGAGTGCCGGATCAGGTGGATGAGGTAGACGAAGCTTTCTTCAGACAACTGAGAGAAACTTCCAGATCACAGGCCCTGGTTCTCCTGGGCAACTTTAATCACCCTGATATCTGTTGGGAGACCAATACAGCAGTACACAGACAATCCGGGAAGTTTTTGGAGAATGCTGGGGATCACTTCTTGGTACAAATGGTGAAGGAACTGACCAGGGGCCATGCATAGCCTGACCTGCTGCTCACAAACAGGGAGGAACTAGTAGGGGAAGTAGAAGTGGGTGACAACCTGGGAAGCAGTGATCATGATATGGTAGATTTCAGGATCCGGAAGAAAGGAGAGTATAACAATACACACCCTGGACTTCAGAAGAGTGGACTTTGACTCTCTCAGAGACCTGATGGGCAGGATTCCCTGGGATTTTAACATGATTGGCAAGGAGTTCAGGACAGCTGGCTGTATTTTAAAGAAGCCTTATTGAAGGCACAGGAACAAACCATCCTGATGCACAGTAAGAAAAGCAAATATGGTAGGTGACCAGATTGGCTTACCG